CTAGAAGATTAGATTTTGGCTGTTATAACTATATATTTTAACCGGATGAAGGATTTTAGTCATCTGATGTCTGGATCTTAATTTATCAGAGAAATAAACGATTTGTTTGGAGAGGAGGAGACCTCTAGGTGGCTGTTGATGAAAAAAAAAAACTCCTGAACAATAAACACTGAAGGAATCGTAACTGGGAGAAGATGATTGCAATGACGACAATAGTGGTGCAGACAACAACTCCCATGATCTGATGTGTTATGAGGACAGAAAAGCATTCATTATCATTTGTTAAACTTCAAGTACACACAAGGAGAAACTCTGAATTTACATTTTTGTTTCTTTGTAAGAAAACTCCACAGGGAACCTTAACGTATAACGCAAAGACTGGAAACACCTGTCTCGGCTGTGTCCAAAGGTAACAAAATACATCTACCATCACCTCTACAGCACACTAATTAACATGTTATATCTCTCTTGTTTATTCTGCTTATCTCCTCACAACTTACGTGAAAAAAAAAAAATTGTAAGAGTGTGCAGTGTGTGCTGCACTATTTCTTGGATAGTGATGACACAGAAAAAGCAAAATCAGCATATTCCCCGAAATGTCAAACTGAACCATTAATGCTGTTGGACATTTAAATGAGGAAATGGGTGTTCATGATGTGTGTGTGTTAAAAAAATGTTAGTCCATCCACTTTGGCACACATTGCTTCCTCTCAGTAGTTTATCAACTGTTGTGCGCAGGAAATCGAGTAAATGACTAATTCCTGCTTATGAAAGACTATGTTCCCATTTTAAGTAATTTATTGGAACTGATGTAAATTGACTAAGCCACCAACCTCTTTTTTCCTCTTTCACTTCTCCCTCTCTCTTTCTCACTAGCTTTCTCCTTCTTCTCTCTTTTCACTTAGTCTCCTCTCTGCTGGACCATCGACCTTCTCTGGCTCTTCATGAGGTTTCTTCCATCTTACCCATTAAAAGGATTTTTTTTTTTTTGGGGGGGGGTCCTTATCTAAAACAAAGGTATAAGGACAGAGGGTGTCATATGCTGTACAGATTGTAAAGCCCTTTGTGGCAAATTGTGATTTGTGATACTGAACTATATACATAAAATGACTTAACCTGGCCATAAAGTTGATCATAAAGTTGAATGCATAATTTTTTGTTGTCATAATAAACTATGAAGTGTTTACATACAGAGAGTTAAATAACAGCACAGACTGAGCTAATAGACCCAAAGTGTCTCCCTGCCAGACCACAGGAAAATAGTATACAGGCTCCCTGCTATGTCGAGATGAATGCTGCTCGCCTCGGGTGAAAGAAAAGTCGATAGATAGAAAACTGACTTCTAAAAACAGACTAGAGGCTAAAGAGACAGAGCACCACACTCATGTATAAGTAAAGCAACAAGTGTGCACACAACATACACTACACTACACATCAGGCACAGTATGTGTTGTTTGAGGATCACCTACAGACATATTTAACAACATATAAAAATAGACTGCTTGGAACAATAGCACAAAAAATTTTAAATGACAATTTCAACATTAAACCCCTTATAAAGTAATTTACTCCTTCTACCACATTGAAAATTAAGGAATCTATGAATATTCAAATGTTCATTTCTAAAGTTTTCCTCTTGGACACACGATATCTCTTTCTTTAAAGTCCATTCTCAGTGGATGTGCACTGGTGGCTTAAAATTTCTACATTACACTGTAGAAGTTTCATACTGGACCAGGTTTGACTTCCTAACTATTTGTGATGTCACAAATCATGTTTGTAGGCCCCGCCCCTTAAAATCTGATTTTCAGTTAGCACAGAGAAACTTCGCACTTTCAGCAGATGAATGTGAAAACATCCTTCTAGTGTCAAATTCTGCACAAACAGCATTCTGCACAGTGAAGATCAAACGTCACACTGTTGGAACAAGACTTTTATGTCCGTGTTTCTGGCTTAGGGAATCTGTAACTTAAATCAGAATCTATATATCATATGAGAGACAAACGGCATTCTTCTGTTCCTTTCTGCTAAAATGTATTCATCAATGATCAAATGTGACGTAGACACTTGTGGTGTGCTGACTGCAGCCATGCCTTCTTGCTCTGCCACATTAGGCCTTAAACTGATATTAATCTCCAATGTCTCTCTCCTCTTCTGAACTACTGACAACAAACAATGTCCATGAAACTTAATATTTATGCCAGCCCCAGGGTTACGAACTGCCATCTCCAGTGAATGTTTAAACTGGAGATCGATCAACATTTGAATGAGATCCCTGGAGAACACTCTCATCCCACCACTCAATCAATCAACAGCTGTCAGACACTGAAACCACCATGGCTCATAAAATAATGATGCTCTGCTATTTTTAGATCTTAAGGACATAGTGATTGATCCAAACATCCCTTTCATGGGACTTTGGGAAACCACTCTGTGTTTCTAGAATTATTTTGAATAATATTGCCTGAAAAAAGTGGGTTTCAGTGTGTGCGTGTACCATTTTAAGAATGGAATTGCAAAGGTGGATCAATAGACATGAGCTATAAAATATCAGCTCAATAGCTGCATGGTAATTAAATGCATTTTATTTTTCATTTATTTTGGTATTGTTGCTGTTCTCAGCTGCATGCCATCTTTTCTCCCAAGGTGCATTCAAAGATTATTTAGTGTTTTCCCTCCGTGAAGCCAGGTCAAAGCCAAAGAGGTTGCTGTTGAATTTATAAACAACTTTCTTGTACAAAACCACAAACACATTTCCATTTCATCCAATTCTTTTTGGGGGAGGGGGGGAATGAAGCAGAAATATCAGAGAAGTTTATCTCAGAACCTGGGCAGATGTAACCAAACAACTATTCACTAGAGGCACAGTAAGTAAGACGATACATTTTTACATAATTTGAAAATGTATCACATATTTTAGGTGTTAGTTACTTGACAGTTTCTAATTACCTTCTGAAAAGCTTTCAGGTAGAGTTCATTGTATAGAATAATTCATTTTTTTGTCACCGTAACTCAAATTATACTCCAGCACGTAGAATTAATATTAACGCAATGCTGAACGTGTGCAAAAGTTTATGATGACAGCTTTTTTAGACAGCTATAAAGATAAGAAATGCTGTGTGTTTGGTATTGAGTGTAATGTATATTTCTGTGGTATTTTTTTTTAGAGGTGGGGGCCAACACTGGCACTGATTGAATGATATGGATCCACATTAATCTCTTTACACAGTCCATCATTTGATTTTAATCACTGATTGCACTGTAGGGTTCTGATTTGATTGCCTGTGATTGGAGAACGCAATCATACGCTCACAGAGTAGTTAGCTTCTTACATCGGATTCCCTTTTAGTAATTACACCAATCTGCCTAAAAGGTAAGTTTACCTCAACAACCTTTGTTCAGCAGCTATACTGAAATTTGATATGGGTAAATGAAATGTAGTATATCAACTACATCTCTTAGTGTCCTGGCTTCATAGTATTAGACCTCCTGGCTCTTCCTGCTGCATGCATCCACCATTTCCTGCCTGCACCCTGAGGAGATGTAGCATCTCACTGCAGATCACAGATCTGTGTCCAAGTGTGATCTCTTAGATCTCCTCGATTCTGTAATTAGTCTACAATATTGGTGGGCATGTTTTTATTGTCGACACTGAAAGAGAATACATTGTTATGACAGTGATAAATATCACAGGAATGAGTGAATATTCCTTCACATCTCAAGAGGCATATATCATGAAGATGTCATTAGAAATATATTGTAGTGGTTCTAAATGATTCACTGGTGCATATAGCGTGTTAGGGCTTTTAGTGTCTCTCTCTCACTAATGCACTCTCTTCAAGAATAATAAGCTGGTGGGCTGCCAGGTGTAAATACATGGTCCAGCAGAAGGTTGAATATAACCAAACCCATTTAAATGAGCAGTTATCAGTGTATTCATAATGTGTAGAACATACTAACAAACTATATGATCTCATGATGGCAAAGGTATACTCATTTCCAGCTGTTCTATTAATTAACAATCCTTTAATTGCTTCTCATTTGAGGAATACATGTACTTAAAGAGACATTTATATCATTTAACCAACTACTCAGGTAAAAAAGAAAAAATCTAGAAATATAAATATATTAAATATACTGGTAAGTACACACAGGGAAAACACTGAAATGGAAAGTACCCCACCAGGTGTTGCATATCTGGTACTACAAAATAAAACAGGAGTGGATCCTTTACTAAGAACCATGTTTACACACATTGCTTGTCGAAATACTGGCTGTGGGCACATGATGGGTTTAGATTAGTGAAATCAGCAGTGGGATTTAGAGCTAACATTACTGCAATTAAGAAAAAAATTTATGTTCTCCAATGGGCCTTTTTCAAAGCAGATATTTTGACTTGGCATAGCAAGAAAAGCACAGGTGTTACTAATAACATTGATTATGGCTCTGTGACATCATTAATTTTACACCAGGGGTTTTTCCAATTGTGGCTTGTCAATATGTCCAAAAAACCAATTTCTCTAAAATCTTTATCAGGTGATTCATATTAAGTTGGTAAACCTGATTGCTTAATTAACGTTGGGATAGTTTGATATAAGTGTCTAACAGCATGTTATTAACAATAATCACTCTCCATTTAGGACACCTGTGGGCTCAATGGGACACTTGAACACAGACACACTGTTAATATGTACCTTATATGGCAGGAAAAGGAGGGAAAGGTTTATTTTGTGTTTTTGGTAGGTATTCCAACTCAGCTGAAATAAAACAAATCTTTATTCTGAAAAAGGCAATTTTTTATTGTCCACTTAAAACTGAACTGATTTTATTAGGAACATCTGTAGAGAAAACCAGAGTAGAGTTTGTAGAGACCTGCCCCAAATGCAACTGGAGGTCAGCCTCTGTACCATCTCTAACAGTAGAGTAGTTAGCTTATCAACACTATTTCATTCTTAAAGTTAGCTTTGTTCACATATAATACAAGACAATTACAATGGATACTCAATTACTACTTTATTAAAAAATAACATTTAATATGCAATGATACAACACTGTACAGTAGAGAGTGTGTGTGTGTATGCGTCTGTGCAGGGGGAGCAAAGGTGTCCCGGAGAAGACTGTGAGTGAAGGGTTGCTGGTGAGCTGTGAGGACTTGCTGTAGTTCTCTCATGCTGCATTCATCACACATGGAGGTTTCACTGGTGTGCATCCCAGAGCAAACAACTGAGCTCTGACAAGGTAGCATACTTTATTTAGTTCACCTTTCTGCCGGACATTGCGATGCAAATTGTTTATTTTTCCATGTTTTCAATTGTTTATTCCTGCAACAAGCAGGGTCAAACCCCACGGGAAAACTCACGAACCCTGAGATTCTGACTTTTATAATGGCTGTTTCAAGTCAGACATTAGTATTTCTGGTATGCCCTCATGTTATGAATGCAGCATTAGTCCTGAGAGGAGAACGGTAACTGTAGGGTCTACTGTTCAGGGTGTCAGTCCAAGATGGGCAGCGGAAGAACCTGATTCTATGATAAACCACAACTGAGGCCACCCCTGAAGTAGCTCACATGTGAAGGACTATTGTAGTGGAAACATGGGTGAACGTAAATCTTTGCAGACTGAGACCCCTGAAAAACGATTCAGATAATACTGTATGGCCCTATTATAGAGTGAATTTTTTGCATCGTCTTACACAGATGCCATAGTGCATGTCATTAAAAAAGAAGACACCACAAAATTCCTAAATGCATGGCAGATCGAGACTAGTGGTATTTTACAGAATATCACATTATTTCACAAAATAGTGGAGCAGTTTCACAATAGATCTGTCCATATCTCAATGGACAACATGAAGCACTGACGATGTGAGATGGCAGTATTTAGCTTTGCAACAATGTAACAGCACTCAGAAGAAAAATGAAGTTAAAATGACTAAAGTGGAGAGAAGTGCCAAATCAAAATGTATCCTTTCAAGACCACAGCTTACGGGGGCATTTCGGTTGATTTGTGTCACTTTTTAAATTGCTACATTAGAACAAATCAACTACTGGCAGTGTTAGAAGACAGATGATGCACAGACTTAATTGGTCAGGCTGTCAATTCTCTAGTTAATTAACCAAATGGAGATCACTGTAATGCAAACACTGACTCTTCATGTTAGGTCCTTAAATAGTTATTACGAGACAGATGTCAAGTCTGTACATTTTAAAACTCAAGTTATGTATATGAATTGATGATGATCTGTGACCGTGCTGCACATTGTTGCATTTCTTAATGCATCTCAGTTTCAAGGCATGTGTGGAAGACTTCATCATGCTAATTATATGACTAAGGAAAGGCTAGATAATTCAGAAAGGCTAGCTAATAACTCAAATTGTGTCTTAGAGGTTTAATACTCAGTGACAAATACAAAATTAAGTAAATGACATACTAAACTGGCTAATACAAATTCTATTGAGGGACTATGGCGTGGAGAAGTATTAGGTTAGATAAGAAACTTTCTCTAAGAGTTGCAGAATCCCTAGTTCTTGGAAAGTAGAAAAAAAGCCTTGTCCTAATGGCAGCAATTTTAGCTTTTTGTAGGAAAGTTCCCCACATCAATATAATTCACAAACTGGGTTGTTTAACAACATACTTGCATCATTGCCCTGAGAAATACGTTCCCTCGCGGCTATGGGTCTGGAGATGCCTTTTGATTTTGTCAGAACGGCTGAAGCATTTGCCACACACAGGGCAACTGTATGGCTTCTCCCCAGTATGGATCCTCATGTGTACCTTCAGGTGAGCCATCTGTGTGAAGCCCTTTCCACAAATCTGGCAGCGGAATGGTTTTTCTCCTGTGTGGCTACGCTGGTGCTCCTGGAGTCTGCCGGAGGAGCTGCAGCATTTCCCGCATACTCCACAGCGGTAAGGTTTTTCTCGCGTGTGCACTTGTACGTGCACATGCAGGTGGCCAACATGACTGAATGCCTCGCCACAAACCTTGCAGCAAAAGGACGACATGTGTCCTTGTAGGGGGGATTTTTGATGGGGGCAGTCTACGGCATTGGCTCCTTGGTTGCGCATATGAGAGGCCTGCTGTCCTCTGTTAGCTCCAGTTCCCGTACCCTTAGCACCAACCATCTGTCCTCCATTCTCCACCCCAATAATGTCAATGTTGTTCTCATTTGAGCAGTTAGGGTTGACTGGCGCGAGGGGCTGGGCGCCACTGTTAGAGGAAGAAGAGCCTCTGTGGCCTCCTGCACTTTCTACTTTCACATGCCTCGAAGAGCCTCGAGATCCAGGGTCCCGCTCCCTGTTCTCCACACCTTGACTCTGCGGGAGGTTGGATGTGTGGGGGGCTTCCTGGGGATATTCATTTCCAACACGCGGGGGAGTGAACATGTTCTCTGGTGTGCTGCAAGAGCCGTGGCCCCGAAGCTGATCATCTCCTTGGTTGGTCCGGAGATCTCTTTTATCCTTAATCTGAATAGGGATACGCTCTTCGTGCCCCATGCTAGGACTCCACTCGCGGCGTGGATGCTCACCATCCTCCTCGTCCAGCAGTGCCATAGACGGACGATCTGAGAGCACAACAGGAGGAAGAGGCTCAGATGAAAACATCAACTACATTGCTGCAAACACAACTGTGTCCTTGGCATAATTCAATGTTAGTTGACTACATATGCCATATGGCACTTGCACTCAGAGTTTGCTTCTGAAAGTTGTATTTAAATATCAAAATGCACTTGGTTATCAACTTCTCTGTAGTTAAAAACAAGGGGAAGAGACTTTAAAGCTATGGCAGAGCCACCGGAGCACATGGAAATGATAACTGCAGTTTTCTTCTGTGAAACATCCCTTTAACTTTATACATCAACAATGCAAAGAGCTTAACCCACTACCTTGCGGACGAAAACTAACAGAAAATGTTTTAATAGTTACAGTTATAAACTGTGGTGATATACAACATGTCTAAATTCTAACTGAGACGGTCAACGTACAGAAGATGACAGACCTGGCCTTATGATCAATTTGGTTACATAGTAATGGCTGGAACAATAGACACACTGAGTTCATGTATTTTACACTGCAACAAAACAGTACGGGAAACCCTGAGTATGTATTATTATTATTATTATTATTATTAGTCAATAATACTGTATGTGATGCCTGTATTTACCCTATTGGACTTTAAGTGTTGTTTAACATTAATTCACAGCGGCTGTAACTGCACCACTCATGTCAAGTGTATTTAATATCTACAAATGGACTGAAATGAAGACTACCTGACATATTTACACTCAATATAAACAGTGGCACCTTTGGCAACACTTTGGCAGCAGTTTCAGCCACGGGTCTGTGAGGACACGGAGTTTTAAAATTGGAGTAAACAAACACAAACACTGACACAACAGGTGAAGAGCGTGTGTTCGTTTTGTCAGTGTTTACCTGTATCCATCCCTGTCAATAAATCACGAGTTAGCACAAAATGCACATAAATATTCACATATAGCTTTAGTGCTAAACCGGGTGTAGGCTAGACGGCTAACCTAGCTGATTGGCTAACGAACAAAGGTTGCTAACGCGCTAGCCGCTCCACAACAACGGCAGCTAACGTCAACTATGTCGCTAACAGCTAAAGTTAACTTGCTTGGAAGTAGGGTAACATTACCCCGAGGCTACTTAATGTGTTGTTACACCGGTCCTGTACGCAGTTATTTCCATTTAACTACCTAATGCCACCCTACAGACTCGGCTAAAAAGGACATAAAGGGGCGCAACTGCACCGTTAGCTTTCAGCGGAGCTAACCTGGCCATATTTCAATTCCAGCGTCTCGCAGCCTGCGTCTCAGATGGTCGTTCTCCCGCTCCCGGATCGCTATCTCCTCCTGGTACTCTAAAATCGTGTCCTCGACAGATTTGTAGATCTCCTGCGCAGCAAGCATGAGCCGCTCAGTCAAAAAGACGTTTAAAAACTGCAGTTTGGTCATTTTCTTGGGTTGCACGGAGCTCTTGCTATCATCCAAAATGGACCAAAAAAAGATGCTCGACCCAATCACGTGACCCGGAGTTGTTTCTTCTTCTACTTCTTCTCCTCCTTCCACATCTTGCGCCCCAAGATTTTCTGCGATGACCCCGCTGACTCTTCATGATTCACTAGTTTCAGTTTGGACAAAATCCCTTTCCGGTTCGGTAATATTGTGGCGCTGCAGAGCGGAGTGGTTTGGGTTGGTTCAGGTAAATGTTAGAACACCTGCTGCCCGGTTATCAGCCCTCTGCGTGAGCTGTGGTTGTCATATGGCTGCAAATAGTAGTTTGGAAGTTAAATAAAGCCATCACAGGTATTACACAATGGTATATATATATATATATATATATATATATATATTCAATGTACACATGCACACTTCAAAGTCATCAGTATCTTTATCATCAGTACAATTGTTAAAGTCTAGATGTAGATTCCTGCACCAGTCACCACACATCTGCAGTATAACATGATGTTACTTAAGTTAGGATATGCTCTTATTTACCTTGTGGGAAATTGTTTTTGAGTTACAGAATGCATAAGACAAGTTAAACGGTATTGAAGCGTGGGAAGTAAATAAGATACAGTTTGGCATTAACTCATTAGTTGAAAGAAAAGTTCAACCAGGCCTCATGATAACATTAACAGGTGGTTCTCACTTTTGAAGCACACATAAAGAAAGTGAACACATAGTGTAAGCACCCTCTGTCAGTCAGCTCGGACATTACTGCATAAAGCCCAAACACTTTATGTGAAAGTGACATCTGAGTAATAACAGAAGTCCCATAAATAATCTAGCAACGTGACACACACACACACACACACACACACACACACACACACACGTGGTCTACACTTCATGGACACCAACATTGGAGCGTACAAAAGTTCAAGAAAGCTTTTTATTGTGACTGTATTTAACAACAAATGTAGAGTTAGATCTCCAATCAGCTGCAAAAATAATAATTACGTATTTTACATCCACACATTTTAAAAAACATATCCATATGTGATGTCTTCAAAATATTTCCCCACGTAATTCCAATCTATTAAGTGTGTTTGTTTTTACTACAGATTAAAAAAAATTATATATTATAATACTTTTACGAATACATAGTGACTATCAGTTAACCGGAAGCGCATTAAGTACTCCGGTCAGCAGGTGGCGCCAATTTGACTCACAAAAGCGGAAGTGACAACACACCAAACCTTGTGCACTCCTCCACGTGTGAGCGCAGAGCACATTGGCAGCTCCACAGCTCCGCGATGAAACGACCAAGTAAGTCACCACTGATAGCGATGTCCTCTGAATATATGAGCTTATAGTAAAAACATCTCGGTAGGGTTGAATTGTTCGCTTCCTCCGTCTGAGTGAATGTTTTAATCGCTGCCTGCCACATCTGCTCCGTTCGCATTAGCTTCGTCTTTTGCTAACTGTTCAACCAACGTTAAACTTTATTTGTGTCTTTTGTCTTCAGAGTTAAAGAAAGCGAGTAAGCGGGTCTCATGCTCCAAACGTTATAAAATACAGAAAAAGGTAAGTCTGTCTTCACCACCAACCAATACTTTAAAATATAAAAGTTTACATCTTTATGGCGTCTGAGGCCTGTGAACGTGCTGCGCCCCTGTCTGACTCGTTTCACGGATTTTAATATCCACAAGAAATAAGAAGTTACATTCTGGTGGTGTGTGTGTTGGTTTTTTTTTTTTTTAGGTCCGGGAGCACAACAGAAAGCTCAAAAAAGAGGCAAAGAAGAAAGGAGTGAGCAAACGAGTGAAGAAGGACCCCGGTGTCCCCAGCAGTGCTCCCTTCAAAGAGGAGGTCCTCAGAGAGGCAGAGCAGAGGAGGCTACAGGTTGGCAGTCATTTGTTCATCACAGCGACCTTGGATAAATGTAGTGTCACTTCTCAGATTAATCTGGTCCGTGTCTCCCAAAAGTGGTGTAAGACTGTAATGGTCTCTGTCCCATTGTGAGTCTTTGGGCTAAGATCGTCTCAGCCTTAAGATGCTGTTGAGAAACAGGGCTGGATGGTGTTTTTATTATGTCACTAGATCACTGGTAATCCGATATAATACGATGTTATGACATTTGTTGTCTCACAGATTGAAGAAGAAAAAGAGAAAAAAAGACAAGCTAAAAAAGAGGAGCGAGCCCAGAAGAGAAAAAAGGAGAAAGATACTGCAAGTAAAGAAACAGAACCCAAGGCCAAAAAGGCTCGGCAGGTAAAACATGAACACTAAAGTCCATCAGTTCAGAGGTTTATCACTCTACTGTTGAATAGCTTTTAATTTCTGTGGGGGGGGTTCTTGTTTCCACAGGATGAGGTTCAGAAGCTTTCAGAGAAACAGACGACCACAGACAAAAGCTCCAAACAATACCTTTGCTCTGAGTTAAACAAGGTAAAAACTACCCAATCCCAGTCAGTGGTTTACTGTAGAAAGGTCTTATCTGATAATCTCAACCGATCTCTCTCTCTCTGCTCTTTCAGGTAATTGATGCGTCCGATGTAGTGATAGAAGTCCTGGATGCTCGCGATCCGATGGGCTGCAGGTGTCCACAGCTGGAGGAGGCGGTGCTGCAGAGGGAAGGCAACAAGAAACTGCTTTTGGTTTTAAACAAAATAGGTAAATACACTTGAGCTGCTGCATACTTAATTTATAGTACACACACACACACACACACTGACTATGCTTGTGGTCTGTTGTGAATTTGAATGGGAAATTGGTTGTCTGGACACTGAAGTGTTTGGATTTTCTGTGTTGTAGATTTGGTCCCAAAAGAAAATGTGGAGAGGTGGATACAGTGTTTACAACTTGAGTTTCCAGTTGTGCTGTTCAAAGCATCAACACAGATCAAGGACAAAACAGTGGTATGAGGTGCATTTTACACACTTATAATGAAAAAAACATTTATACCTGCGCACATTTATTTTTAAGAACAAACTGCTGCTAATGTTTCTAATTTGCTCTAATATGGAGGACTGAGAAGGTTGAGCAGCTTGTGTTGTGCTGTTATAACTGGTTATAACCTCCAAGAGTAACAAACAAATCACACAAATTAACAGGCTCTGTCTCGAGCAGAGCTGACGTGTGTTTGTGAACAAAATAGTTTCCAGTATTTGCATGCTGTGTTATTCAGACAGCGCGAGGGAGCCACTTGAAATGCAAACCAAGTGTTTACTTCTGGATGGTACTAGAGTGTAATTTAATTTTGTCTTCATTCTTTCTTCATCAGCAAGCCAAGAAGAGCAGAATAGTGGCGTCCAATGAAGTGTTGGACAAATCCAGAGGCGCAGCCTGCTTTGGAAACGGCTGTCTTACTGAGCTTCTGACAAGTTTAGCTGCTAACAGAGAACAGAATGAAACTTCGCTCAGAGTGGGTGTAGTTGGTAAGCACTGATATTTCTCCATATAAAGTGTTATCAGTCAGGATACAGTTTTTGCAGTGAGGTGTCTGTTTTCCTGTTTTTTTTTTTTTTTTATTTTATGGCCAGTATGTGTTTTGTGTGCTGCTAAATGGCCCTGGACACCTCATCTTTTTCCCAGTTGTCCAATCAGATGAACTGAGAGTGACGACAAAGTTCACAGCTGCATGGAGGACAGTGGTGGCTGAATACCCTGTACCTGTACGATTTTACCCACCATAGTTACAATGATCTGCACAGAATACATCGGGCCAGGAGGAGTGCAGTACTTAAGAATTTGGGAAAGTTGTTTTCATTAGTTTAAACTACTAATAGTTAACTGGTAGCATGGTTTGTGTTAAGCTAATGTTAGCTCACTTCAGCCTCTCCCTGAGATAGTTGAAAAACAAATCTAAACCCAAAATATTAAGTTACATTATTGTAGGTTTCAACAAAAAAGGCAGTGTGGACGTTATGCAGCTCTGTGCTATAGAAATACGCTATTGATTCTCCTTGTGTTAATTTCTTGAAATTTAAAGTACATAGACTGAATGTTCATATTTGACGTTGCCTCCTTTTACCTGCAGGTTTTCCTAATGTGGGCAAGAGCAGTCTCATAAACAGTATGAAGGGGATCCTTGCGTGCAATGCTGGTGTGAAGAGAGGCATCACAAAGTAAGTGACAAATAAGCATAAAAACGCTAGCTAAACACAATATATAAACACATTCTTAAGTCCCTTGTGTTTGTAGCTTATCCCCATAGTCAAATGTTGCCTGTTTCTTCCCCTTAAGATCCATGCAGGAGGTGCACATCTTGAAGAACGTGAAGCTAATAGACAGTCCAGGAGTCATTCCATCGCCGTCCAACCCACCAGCCTCTTTGGCTCTGAGGAGCCTGCAGGTGGAGGAGGGCCGGGAGAGTGTGCTGGAGGCTGTCAGGACCCTGCTCAAACAGTGCGACAAGACCCAGGTATGAGGAGTTCCCATCACAGGAGACAATGTTTCAAGTAATGTGTTAACTGATCAGATTGATTTGGCTGTTCTCTTGTAAATTTTAAGTAATTTTACTCATTGCAGGTCACATGCTCTTATTGTTTCAGATCATGCTTCAGTATAATGTCCCCGACTTCAGGAACTCTCTGGAGTTTTTAACCTTGTTCGCCAAAAAGCGTGGATATCTGCAGAAGGGCGGAATCCCTAACACCGAACAGGCAGCCACAGCGTTCCTCGCCGATTGGACAGGGTGAGTGTATTTTTCTAAAGCATCGGAAAGGGCGGGCAGCTGTAGCGCATCAGTGTGGAAATGAGGACAAAAACACAATTCTGGATTTCTTATGAAGACTTCTAATCCAACTCTGATCCAAACACTATGCCAGGCAAATATGTGAAGTAGAGTAAGGGAGCGTTGTCTTTCTCGATCTCACAGAAGTTTCTCTGGTTTGTTGTCTCCTCAGAGCCAAGCTGAGCTACCACTGTAAGGCACAGGAGAACCACAGCCTCCCTGCGTACATGTCTGACACTGTGGTTGCCGAGATGCAGAACGATTGGAATCTAAACCAACTGATAAGAGGCAATGAGGAAACTCTGAACGGTACTGGTGATGACTTTCATCCTTTAGAGAGCTTCTTCACACGGGGGTGTAATGAACAACATGGTCTCTTGGGGCCACTAGTGGGCTTTTAGAATCTAGACTTGTCTAATGTACTGTTCTGTCTGTTGCTGAGAATAACTTTTGCTTAATTTTTGTTTTTTAGGTGTTAAATTTCCAAACCAGGCCAGCAGTATAACCTTTATCTCTAAAGGTCCGACTGCAGGCCTGCTGAGAGTCAGCGAAGTCTCTGAAGAAAAACCTAATGCTGTAGCCACAGAGACAGAAGCAGAGCACAACGACGAGAATAATGAGGTAACCTAAAGATGTCATTTTAATTGGATTTTTGGAAAACAGCCAGACAATACAGCTGCTACAAATGATGCTGGCAGCCTGGTCTCCTGGACATGAGGACAAAAATTCAAGTCTTGATTTGTTTATGAAGACTTCTAATCCAACTCTGATCCTGCTCACTAGACATTTTTTATTGTGTATCTTGAGGATTGTTGGACTTTAAATTAATATCTGCTCTTCCTGCAGCCTGAACAAACTGCTGAGGACACAAATGAAACAGGAGAACTGGAGAAACCACAGAGGGCAGCACTCAAAAGTAAGTTCTATTTACTAATATTCTTTATTACTAATATCTATACCTGTCAGGCTTTATTTTTACATCTCGCCTTGTCTTCCAGAAAAACCAGGCCATGTGCAGTTCCAGTCTGTCCCCATTGACGTCAGCCTCTCTACAGGTGACGCCTATGACTTCAACACAGATTTTAAATGAGCTTTCCCTTCAGTTTCTGATCCGGTGCCTGTGCTCATGTGGTCCGGCAGACATGCAGGATTGTTGATTCAGAATCACAGTTTGAACGGCACTGCTCTAACTGGTGAGCACTGGTTTCAGACTAGTTGTTGGTGTTCTTGCCGTTACTTCAAACTTTGAATCTAGAAGACCGTGGGGCAGTTTCCAGACAAAGGACTAAGCTTTATCCTAGTCTACATTTTTCAGTTGATGACTCAATTGAATCTTGTTTACCTAGGATGAATCCCTGCCCGGGAAATGGACTTAAGTGGTTATGTGTGTGTGTATATATCCACTGACTTCTCCTCCAGATGTTGCCTGTGAAAGATCCCCTCTTTTTAAATGTCTAGAGGTCATTTGTAATATTGTGTGTTTATGCAAAATGCTGTATATAGACAATTCACTATAAATGTAATAAATCCTCTACAGCCTAAATCTTGTTTTCTTACTGTATTTTTCCAAAACCACAAACTTACACAACTGCAGCAGGTTCATTCTGTAGTGACAAATCAAGATTTAAACGATAAAAATGTAAGTTTTATTTCACATACTTTACAAAAGATGACATATACACCAGCAAGGTGAATGCTTTTTTTTTTTATCTGTATAAAAATCCTGACAGGGATAAAACATAAGAATTGTACAAACACTATGTTCTTCAATTTCTGCAAAGGTGAATGTTTGAGTAGTGGTCTTGCTGTAAAGTGAGAACTTAGTGTTCATTTATGGAATAGTTCATTGTTGGTGGGACAAATCAAAAGGTAGTGCACCATTAACTGGATGCACAGAACAATTCATATTTGTGGAAATGCCATTCAGAATAGTTGAATTATAGAGGAAGAGGGAGTTAAAACTGCATTTTCTCTCTGACTGATGCTTAACTAAGCACAGGTGATTTTTAAAAGATGTCAAAACAAGGATCTGATTAATAAAACCTAAGCGCAATTAAGAAAAGTAATGAATTACATTTCCACAGGAAGTATTGAATTGAGGTAACGACATGCAGCGCCTGCATGGCTAAGATGAGTAATGAACTGACAACTCACAGGAGAGTGTTTGAACCAGTTATAGTGTCGACTGTGCTACACCATTAAAGCTGAGGTAACAGTATAAACTCCTTTAGTATGCAAATAAAGTAAATTAGTATTAAGCTGCATGTAAACATAGCTACTTAGGTCATCATTACTTCGACAATGGTTGGAACTACATAGTTGTCTTGGCACATTGTCACAAGGTATCTCAATACTGCTGACTGGAACTGATGCATATATGTCTACTACGTAATAAGGTAATATCCTTCAGATGCAATACACCTATAAAAGTCTCTTTAATAAAATAATTCGCTTTCAAAAGTTTCAGAACATCTTGAGAAGAACGTGTCAAAGCAATCTCAACGGCACTGACTAAAAAAATGCTAAATATGTGTATGCTCCAAGCAGTTATAAGATGCAGTGGGTTCAGAAAAAAAGGTTAATTCTGTGTGTTGAAGGGAATGTGAGACTTCGGATGATGACTCAAGTACGGGGCTGGCAAGGGAGTAGGCCTTACTTAGTTCCTGAGATATCACGAGTCATGGTCCTGTTGGGACGGGGGCTGGCTTGGCTGATTGAAAGTTCCTGAAACCAATTTTTCAGTCTAGTCCCCTGTGTGTCTTCGCACAGGATGAAATTTTCCTGTGGGGTCTGGAATGAACCACTTGTCCCACACATCAGAAAAGGAAGATGTTCTCCCCCATGGCTTATAGTGTCCATTCCAGTGGAGGAGTTTGGCAGCTTTCACAAACTGTGCGGAATAGCGGTTTCCAGCTCCTGTAGTGCCTGAAAAAGAAGGTTTTGCCATCATATGATAATTTGGATTTATGTCACAGTGCATTTGGTGTCAAAAACATTAACATATACAAATATGTGACCAAATACCTGTAACCTGACAATGTGCACAGAGAACAGAGCTTCCAAAGTCAGTTGTGATTTCTGCCACAATTAAAAACTGGATGCTTTTCACAACAGAAAAACTACCTCAAAAAGTCTGTTAAAGGAATAGTTCAACATTTTGGAAGTGCGTTATTCATTGTCTTGCCAAGATTGATAGCATTTTCAAATCTGACTGTTAAATATGAAGTTACAGCCATGAAACAGTTAATCTTAGCTAAGTATAAAGACAGGGAAGAGGGGTAAATGCTGAACCATTCCTTTAAAAACTCCTAAAAGCTTATTTACTCATATGCCCAGTATTGTGGATATCACATAAACCTTGCAGAGAAACAATAATTGCTCGGGGTTGTCCACATGTAAACCCTATTTGATGTAAAACTCTTTTAAATGTATCCTATTTCCTATCAGCAACCACTATGAACTTACCAAGGTGCCTGACGTGCCACATGGGATCGATGGTGGAGTGGCGTTTGTAGAAAACAATGAGGAGTGGGGGGGCGGTGACACTCTCTGCGAGAGTCTTACTGTACAGATCCTCCCTGAGGAAAGCAACAATACACACAGATTTGTGCCTTCAGTTTGTGAAAGACTGCCCCATATTAACCCATCTTTTCACCAGTGTGAGTAACGCACTGTGTGTTAAGTTCCATCCAGTGCTCCAGCTGCTGGGTGACGTTCTGGTTCCTCCACTCAGTCAGGTTGGCGATGATGACCCCGGGGTTGAAGGAGCACGTGTTGGCCCTCATCCCCAGTTTCTTGATAGCCTCCTTCTTGAAGTCCAGGAAACCTATATAGTTATTCTATTGGAAAAGATTCATTATTTAACCTAGTGCCACCATATTTACAAAGAAACATTCCACATTATGATGTTACTACTGTTTGCCCACCTGATTTCCAGCTCCACGAACAATCCCCTTAGCAGATACTGAATCACAGTCATCTGAAAAGGCAGCTGCGTGTCCTGGTTTAAAGCCGGTTTCATAAAGCTCCTGAATGTCTCCTGGGATCCAACAGACAAAATCCATTCATTATTACCTTTCACAAAACCTTTTCTCTTGCTTTTACAAGAGAGTTTTTGAGAGTTAAATCAGAATCAGAATCAGCAATAATACAGGGGGAAATTATTTTCATTACAAACTCCAGATATACAAACAACATATACATACATACATACATACATACATACATACATATATATATATATATATATAAAAGAAAAAATGTACAGTTTAATAATGTGCAAAAATTGCAAAAAATGATTGTCCGTGTTTGAGTCAGATTACAGAGAGGGGGTGTCTGACTCTCTGACTCGCATTATTGCAATAGGGCAAGGTAATTCTCTTCTTTTATAGTGGTGTCTTACCTTGTACAATGATATCATCATCCAAATAGATAGCTTTCTCTGCTTCTGGTATGAGTACAGGTAGATAAAACCTGGCAAAAGTCAACTGAAAAGCAAACCATTAGAACAAAGTTTGTAAGAGACAAACAGGAAAACAGCAGCATAAATATTTATTCTGGGACAGTGACAAAACAATAAGTTGCCTTACTGGTTTTTCATCCTCCAGCGTCTGAGGATCTTTCGGTATCTTCCCTTTCAGGAACTCAGGCTTGAAAATAACTATCTTATATTTGACATTTTTTAGCTTTGTCTTACTAAGCCACGCTCTGTTGGTAAAAAAAAGAGAAAAAAGTATATCAAACAATGGTTGCTCACATAAAATACAATTAACATTGCACAAATTCCTCTTAGAGACCTGTATTAATATGCCCAAGGCAAATAAGCACGCACAATGTAGCAACACAGACTTGCTTCATTGTCTTACTTTAGGTGATCCACCGTGTCATTCAGAGTCACTATGGTGAAGGCGATATTGGCTTTACTGTTCTGGTAGATGCTGTTCATGGCAGCAACCACAGCACCAAGTCTTTCCTCAACAGCAGTGATGAGGACAGGGATCTCCTCTCCTTTCCTCGCCGCCTGCAGTCTGATGTCTGGAGACAACTCGGATTCAAAGGGAAGAATCATCCCCGCATCTGGATAAAGAACATATTTGGGGTTTGATTCATTGCTTCCATGGTTTCATTTTAATACACTGGATTAGTCTGATGAGATGTAACAATAATTACACAAGATATTCTGAGAGAAAAGTGTACCCCATATGTAGGTAGAGAGCAGGGGACACACAGTAAACTTCCTCTGCACATACCTGGGTTTTCCTTATGTAAAAAGTCACTGAGGTTGAGGAGATTCCGTTGAACTATGATCAGGAAGGCCACAGCCAGCAGCACAAGGATGACCACGTTTACTGAAAGACACAATGAAGAGCTGATATTAACAATGGCTGAGGGAAACAGTGTCAGCGTGGAAACCGTGGAAAGCCACACATCTGTTGGGAAGTAATGTTAGATGTAAAAAGCGCAGGAAGTATGAGTTTATATTTAATAATTATATCCCAAAGGCGCTGTACTATATAGACCCAACTACAGACATAATGCAGTCATGCAAACAGGCAACCGTCTCATCCAAACTGACTCACCTCTCCTCAGTGTCATGACAACGGCCTCATCCGTCCCTCCTGATAAAAAAAAATTTAAAAGAAAAAATCAAACTAATAAAAATCCTCAAAGTTGATCTGAGTGCAGCCCGGGAGGTATTAGCTGACTAATGAGGACTGAGGTGAACCCGAACTGCTGCTGCACCAGTGCGTGGCGACAAACGCACAACGTCAACTAGCGGCTTCCAACTGCGTGTTCATGTACTGAAGTTACAAATATTTACAGCGCAGGTGAATTCAGCTCCAACAAGAAACCAGACAGGGAAGCACAAATAATTCACGCTAGAGCCAAACTGCCAACTCAACATCAACAAGTTTATTATCCGCTATCACAAGCACGTAGTAATGGGTGCTCATGTGTATGCCTGACTGTAAAAAAAAACATTTGCTTGCTGTTTCACGCATATAAAAAACAATTACGAGTTTAATTTTGTATGTATTTATGTTTTCATGACTGGAAATACAATGTAAACACATTTATGCTCAACATGTAATAGCTTAAAGTGACTAAAAAATATTGACCGGCATTCATTTAGGCAGGCAGAGCTTTCCACTAACACCACACCAAATGTGCCGACAACTGTACCACTTTACCCAATCCCTACCGTGTATAGATCCGTGAACCTGCGCAGCTGACACAAGCTGTAACACTGTGGAGTAACCGGGAGGGTCCTTCACAACACAACGTAGCTCTTTTAGACACCGGAAGTCAGACTGCTATGGTTCGCATCCGTTTGAGCCAAATCTTTTCTGTTTATTCCTGATCATTTTCAGTGAAAAGATGCTGTCTGTATTCAAGAACATTCCCACGCACATGGTAAGAGATCACTTCGCTTATTTGACGTGGAGCAGCCTTCATAGTAATGCTCGCTATCCATTAACGTTTTATATGAAGCTAGCGTTAAAACCAAACTAGCCCGTGCAGCGGTGAGATTGAAGTCACACCGTTAACAGAGGCGAGCCACACTTTATGATCTCCTCCATAACCCTCAACCACACAAACCAGTGCCATTGATCCACTGTAGCTCCTAACGCGGTCACATCTAAGTCACCAGCTGTCTGTTAATGCACCAACATTACAATGGGAGTTGTTTAGCGACGTTAGCTTAGCGTGTTGTTGTAACAAGTCAGTGACATTGTTTTTTATTATTAACCTGTTCCTCAGATTAGTGTAGCGATAAACAAAGCTATCAGACGACACCCAAGATCCACCATCTTTTTATTTTGCGCGGGGTGTGTGTGTGGGGGCGCTGCCATCCTAACCTCAGTGTGAGCTGATGTGTTATTAATGTTGCCTAAATGATGATTTTCCGTCTCTTGTGTCACAGGATTATAAAGGCCAGAAGTTGGCTGAGCAGATTTTCCAAGGAATAATACTCATCTCAGCGGTAACTAACCATAATCTTTGCAAAGTAGTCATTTAAAACATACCTCTAAAATGCCAGGTTCATTGGTATCATTTGTGTCTTCTCTTCAGGTGATTGGGTTCGTGTATGGTCTGATCGTTGAACAGTTTGGGTGGACAGTGTACATAGTCTTGGCTGGTTTTGCTGTGTCCTGTGTGGTAAGTTTTGGTTGTCTGCTGTATTTTTTGGGAAGGAACCATGTATAAGTTGTCCATCCAGTTAAATTAGGTGTCTGCTATTGTACCCTTGGCTGTTAACACAAAATAACACCATAAATTTCTTCGGTCTGTCCTTGACTTTAGTTGACCCTGCCTCCATGGCCTATGTACAGACAGAACCCTCTGTCCTGGCAGCCAACTTTACCAGAGACCAGCGGGGAACCCAGCCAAAAACCTCAGGAAAGTCTCAAGAAGAAGAAGCACAAATAACTCAGCACTGTCCCTGCCTGACTGTTAATACATCCTTTTATATTGGAAATTATTTAGAATTTTGTCTCACAGCTTACATTTAGTATTTGGGAAGAAATCATTGTTACAGCATCAGTCAATAATGAAATACTTGTGTGTCAAAGTAATAAACATCTGATACCGTCGATGTTTCATTTGTATTTAGAGTTGTTTTTTTCTGCTGGATATATGTTGTTGTTGTTCACAAAGACTAATTTTTGCATTTTTTGTTCAGTGTTCAATGGAAACAATGGAACCAAAAATTACATTTAGGATTTATTAGAAATCATTCAAATGTTAATATCCACAATGCATTATTCTACATTACATTATTTTGTGTTTAAGAAAATACAACACAGCAGCAGAAGTGAGATCTAGTGTCTTCAATGATACAGCATTATGTTAAGCAATTATTGAAATTACTGCATTATAAATAAACAAATTAGTATCCACTACAGAACGTGTAAAGAAGAGTGCTTTAACATGACTCGTAACGTTTGCATAGACATCCAGAAAATTACAGGATCCATTACAAATTCTATGGTTGAAAAATTAAGTAAAAAAAAAAACTTTTCACAGTTATTTACATAACAAGAGCAGCTGTATCCTGGCAATTCCATGAATTCATCCAATCCATGCAGGGTGGTCTTTTGGCAGGAAACAAATTCACAACTACTGGTTTTCACATTTCTCCCAAAGACCAAGTTTCTGTCCAGATGCTTGCCTCTTGTGACCACTTTCTAACAAGTAGTGTCATGGAAATGCAAACGTGTGTGCTCCCTTGTATACAGCATTTTCTCTAAACCTGGAAGGCGATATCCTCAAAGAATTTCAGCTGCCTCACCATCACAGCATAAGCTTGGTACTTCTCATCCCCCATCTGGTCACGAAGGCACAGCTGCAGGGAGAAAAAACAATGGACAGGTGAATTAACTTTGAGTTCTATTGGAATAGTTAAACTTTATAAATTGATTACACTGTGCATGGGCACATTAATCTGTTGCAAAGGTGTGACATGAAATGAATATACAGGTTGATCTAAAAGTCCTCTTACTACGTTTAACTAAAGTCAGTTTAACTTTATTTACAGTCTCAATGCGTCCCATTTATTACCTTTGTATGTGTGTTTACATACTGTATATTAGAACTATATATTCATATATGCATTAGAAAATCACTGAGCTACTTCTGTAACTTGTACATCTGGCTTACATCTTTGCAACTTCTATTATACTTCCTGGTGTAGAAGTTCATTCTTTCACTTAAGGGAACCATAATATCCCAAATACCTCTCGTTTGGTGTCATCCTCCTCCTCCATGATTTCCAGGACTCTGTCCAGCAGCTTGACCCCCAGGCCCTTCACCACATCTGTCCTCAGGTGTTCTATGGCTCTCCTGATCTTAGCTGGACCAGACGAGGAGCCTTTTGAAGAGACAAGCTGGTTCATTACAGGGAAGCTCCAGAGTGGCAGACTGATGACAATAGAGTTTGCTCAAAGTATCTAACCTATTGGTATTTCACCGAGTGACAGGTTCTCTGCTTCTTCTCGAGCCTTCCCATGAAGCACCAGGGTGTCCCTGTACTTCCTGTTCAGCTTAAATTCTGGCAGTGCAGTAGAGCCAAACCTGCCTTTGTCCGGCTCATTTCCACCATCTCCAATATCCATTCTCAAAGTTTGGGTCATCATGTGAACTAAATCCTGCATGTCATTGGATTCAGTCTTCCTGCAGATGACCCATAAATCATGGATTATACAGCAAATTTACTAAAGCAATGTGACACAGCAAATATGCTGGCAGACTTTCCAGAGAAATGAATATGAATAGCAAAGCAGTATGATGACTATATTTTACACAACAGTTGAACATCATGTTATTTTCTCCTGTCTTGTACACACTCACCTTTCCCTGCAGTCTCCCTCCGAACGTTCTGTGGAACTTGTGGACGAGTTGCAATCATCTTCATCTGACCGTCGCTCCGGCAGCTTATCCTGTTGTAAGGAAACACATCCCACTGTTGTGACACAGGTTTAGACAGACAGACAGACAGACTAATGTTTTAATTTCATTGAAACCTTATCAGATTAACCTCAAATGGCAAATCTAACCTGTTTTTTGTCACACCAGTAGTTCCTTTTTAACGACTGCACCAAGTACAATTCATTGTCACAGGAATGTGGTGTCAGTACCTTATTGTTGGTCTCAGGGATAGTGGCTGAAACAGATCTGGTAACTGGGGCATTGTAGTGCTCATCCTTGGTGGAAGTGACATCATAAGATGCCCTTCTTACACCACTAACACCTGTGGAAAGAGCAAAAAGTAATCAAGAAAAAAAAGTCAACTACCAACTTTTTTTTATTTTTTTCCAAGCCTCCTTGTTGTGGTTTTAAGTCCAACTATGATGTTCTGGTTTTCAGTTAAGAAAGGACTGTAAGTACCTGGTTGGCTCACACTTTCTTGGGACTGCCTCAGTCGTCTTCTCTCTCTGGCAGAAAGAGGACGATCCTGAAAATAAAATTTAGCCTCATTTTTCTGTGATTGATAAACTGCTTCTGTTGATTTCAGCAAGAATAGATCAACATAGGAAAACCTTTAGCCATGAGCACAAAAAGAACTGAGACAGAAACAATGTTTTTAATGTGTCAGTGTTTTTTTTTTGTTCCACTATCAATCTAAAATTGTACAAACTATGGTCTTAAATGATACACTTACTAAAAAAATACTTGTGTTTTTAAGACTGCAGGAATTATGAATCAGATTTTACAAACACAAAAAATATGTCAGACAGCAGAATGGATATTCAGAAAAATACACATTTTACACTAATGAGTTGTATACAGTGTGCGAGTGGAGGAGCATCGTCACCTGTGGCAGTGGTAATAATCCGTCCTTAAAGGAACCAACTGATGTGGAGGTTGCAGCTACACCAGCTTTCTTGCTCTCTGTGCTCCTCCTGCTTCTCTTCCTCCCCTCCACGGCTATGCTCTCAACAGGAGGTGGAGGTAAAGGTCTAGGAGCAGCCACCTTGAACTAACAGAAGTTATATTAAGATAAAAATGTTAAACATCGAAAAAAAGATTCATTTAATCAACCTCACTGAGTACACACTGTTTACCTTTTCCTGATCCCCAGGTGTCCGTCTTATGTCCCTCCCTCTGTGCTGCCATGATACAGAAGGTTCTGATGAAAAGTACAAGGGTGTTTGGCATACAGTGGTCACACCCGGCTTACTGGCTGGCGAGGGAGATTCCTCCTGAAGGGGGTCCTAAACAGACACAATACAAGAGTAACTTCCAGCTCTTTGGTCCATTGGATGTTGGCAGTGCTACACAGTCAGCTTATGGAAGAATGAGTACACCAATTACTCACCAATGTTGGAGGGAACGGCTCTAACAGCTTTTCAGTAGATTCTAGGTTTTCCTACAAATACATTAATTAACACACATAAACAAATACTTCATAAAAAAACAACAGAAAATCTACTCTATGACTAAGAGCACTTACTTGGATGTCTGAGGTATGGTGTTGTGTTGGAGCTCCCTTGAGAAGGATACCAGTGTCATTTTTATTGTCTATATTCACTTCCACAACAGCTCCGATATTTTCTATATTGGATTCGTGTGCAGGGAGAGAAAAAGCCTCTTTCTCCACTTTGAGCACTGGGTTCTGCATTTCAGCCTCTTTAAGTAACTCCATGGTATCATCCTTATCATCCACATCTGACATCCGTTTCTCCCCACAGACAGAAAATGTATCCCCAGGGCTCGGCAAGGCCTGTGGACGATTGTCTAACAATCCATTGGGTGCTTTCCTCTCGTCGCCTCCCCCAGTGCCAACACCTGATACAGACTTCTTCAGAGGGGGGTTAACGGGGGAAGGAGGGGGAGAAGGATCTGGTTTCCCCCTTCCCTTGCTGTCTTTGTACACAAGTTCATTACCTGCTCGTTGGTGCGACACAACTGACTGGGGCCCCTGCACCTGTCTCCTCATCGCGTCCTCATCCTCCTGTGGTTGGATATCAATATTAATGTTGCTAATGGTTGCCAGGGATACAATGCTGGCTTTGAGAGAATCAGGTGAGGAGGGTTTGGGTGGCAGAGGTGTTTGGACTGGAGTGCAGTCAGCGAGGCCGTTCCGAACTTTATGTTGCTGTGATTTCTCTTCTTTCTGAGGATGAAGAGAAAAAACAAAAACCATAGTAAACACTGACGCCTGACGTTAGAACTGGGTAAACAGCTTCAACCGTATAGTAATCAGAGCAATCCACTGCACTGTTTTTAATCTTACTACTTTGATGACTAGGACAAATCTACACACGCATATTGAGAATAAACATACAGTAATGGAACTTATTAAGGATTGGTTATGAAAATTTGGAAAACCTGGATGTAATGTTATGTATGTTATCAATAAATCAAGATAAAGCTGCAAGAACACTAAACATTTTTTGTTGATTCTATCTCAAAATAAAATAACTTGAAAGGTATTTTCTCAATGCTACTTTATCAACACAAACACTTGTTTGCTGGCTTTACTGTACCAAAGTGAAACAATGTACTAGTAAAAGGTTTTTACCACAGAAACAATGCCCCAACAACTGCTTACTGTGACTAAGTAAAAGTACTTTAATTGAGAGCGATTTAATTGTCATTTAGTTAAATGTCCCAAACGGATTAATTAAGCTTACACATATTAATACCAGTTGCCCCTATTGGGTTTTGCCAATCACAACAGCCCACTGTTAGCAGATGTATTAATGTCCATGATGTCATATCCAAGCAGCAAACAAATATTTCCACTGGAGAGATAAGGAGAGCATTTTATTTCAACAACTAGCATGACAGAGTTAGCTAAATAAAATGCAGTAAAAGACATGATGACATTCAAATCAAAAGGTTTCTTTCTTTTTCTTTCTTGAGTATAACAGAGAACAACTGTATGTTACTATTAGTCTATTATAATATATAAGAAATATAAGTGACAACACAGTAATCTAATACTGAGTCATGAGTTACTGTGGCAAATAGTAAAATATTATAGTATTATAGTAGAGTTGTCTGTGTTAAACCAGATTTGCTCTAGTCACTCACCCGTTTCACCCTGGCGAGAGGTTCATGCTGGGGACTTTTCTCAGGTTTTGGTTGAGATGACGCAGACGATGCGCTGTTGGCCCTAAAATCACCACTGCCACCCACAGCTTTCTTTCTTGACTTGGCAGTTTTTCTGGTCAGAACCAAAACAAACAAAGCACCAGTCACAATTATTCCATTTTAACTATACAGAGAGAAATTAATGACAGGAAAAGACAAACAAACAAGCATTCGGTTAGGTTTTAAAAATTCAGACATAAAAGTGAGGCGGTCTGCTGTCAGTGCCACCTACTCTTTAGTGGCCTCCAGGAACATGGCAATTTGTCGTTTGATGTACGGCTGCCGGAGGACGAGTTTGACATCAGGCCTGTCGTCAGGCCTCTTACACAACATGCTCTTGATCAGCTCTCCCAGCTGGGGATCATATCTACTGGGCATCTGAGGCAGCTTATGAGAAAATCAAATGTTATAAATTATTGTGAAACTATTTTGCGACCCATTATATGTCTAGATTATTGGGGTTTCAGAAAAATAACATACTGTATGAACTAGAAGATAATCAATTATTACATCACTGATCAAGAGGGTTTAAGTTACCAATTAACACCCACAGCTTTTTTATTTTTGGCTACTTGGGAAAGGACGAGTCTATTCCCAACTTCAGTCTGTTCAAGATATTTCCCTGAACTCTTCTGACACTCTTAGGAAATGACAAACAGATCAATCACTGAATTATATATATATCTGTTTGCAAAAAGAGGATTTCTGTCACCTGGAAAAGCATAAATACTTGGTGAAACCCACCTTTCCTTGTACTATGCGATAGACCAGGGAGTTCATGTCCTTGGCATTGAACGCATGTTTCAGCGTGGACATTTCATACACACAGCAACCCAGGGCCCATACATCTGACTAGAAAAAAAAATAACATCCATTTGTAAAGTATGACCGTTCACAAAGGAAAAAAACAACAACAGCAGACAATCAAATTACCTTGTGGTTATAGGGTTTATTAGAAAAAAGCTCTGGACTCATGTAGTAAGGGGTCCCTATGAGGGTGCTGGCCATATCATTCTGGTTTTCCAGTACTCGGGCGATGCCAAGGTCCCCAACTTTGATGATGTTTGTCTTGGTCAGGAAGATGTTCTGTGTTTTAAGGTCCCGATGAAGAATGTTTCTCTCATGCAGGTACTACAAAGCAAAATGACAAAAGTGACTTCAGATGTCCTGTAATTGTACAAAGAAAATAAATTATATCTGATCCTCACACGGCCTTCACTTTCAATCTCACAACATACCTGGAGGGCCATGGCTATCTGAACAAACCACTCCACCACCTGCCTCTCAGGTAACAGTTCGCCCTTTTGCTGTTTGAGCCGATGATAAAGGTCACCGCCTTCACAGAAGCCCATCACAATGTACAGCTGGAAGTCGTCTCCCTCCCAAGACTCCCTGTATGTCACAATGTTAGGATGTCGCAGCTCGGAAAGAAGCTGCGCCTCCTGCTCAGCAGCACGCCGTTCCCGCTTGGACGAGGTGGTTAAATTCAGCTTCTTAATAACATACTGGGGGAGAAAAAAGAAAAATCACTCTCCCTGAATTGGAAATGAAGGAAAACAAGTCATTCTACATTAATGAACATGAACAAATTCAGAAATCAAAGCGATAGGAAACTGAAGCATTTTCAACCAGACTGCAATGAACTGAACTCAGTTTAAGTTCACATTTACATAACTTCATCATTTTACCTAAATCTAATGACTGATGTAGACCAGGGATTCACAAATCTTGTCAATGTGGGTGATCCACATATAAATCAGAACTTTTTAAGCCATGAAACACTGACACAAGATCTCTGCACCTGAAATGAGTTAGCCACCATGATGTTAGGTAGTATTAATTACGCTGCTACAATTCCTTAAGGTTCAGTAGCTTAAATTAAAGTGTCCCTGTTGTCTGAAACCCCTCAAGGGTCATCGCTGCAGACTGGAGTTTCATCAACTGTCAAACCTGTGTTATTGCCCTGTAAACAACAACATACATTATGTTTACTAACATATAACTTCATGTCACTATGTCTCACAGCACACTGGAAGTGTTAACGTTATTATGTTGGCTTCATATATATAGATATATAACGTTATATATCAGTTTATGAAACATAATGTAAAAACAGCGTCTGTAAGGTTTTAGCCGACTTTAGCTAACTGTAAGCTAGTTGAACCTGAGCGGGTCTTTGAGGCGTCAAGATACACATTTCACTATAATGGTTAACGCTTTAAGTTGTTTATTTTATCTGTTCTGGGCTGTATTGAACTCCACACACATAGTTTCCGTTTCTCACCTGTTTTCGGTCTGCTTTGTGTTTCACCAAGTTCACCTCCCCATAGCTCCCTTTCCCAACGACCCTGATGAAAATATAATTATTCATCCTTCTTCAAAACGCTTCATACCGCGACCTCACAGGCTTCTGAAACATTACACGACACATCCAGCGACCATTAGGGTTTTATTTCGGCCCGTAGTCCGGCTGCAGAGACACAGATAAAAACACATGAAATCTGTGCGGGGAAACTTCGCAGTAGTTAGCTCAGTGCCAGCGATGAGAGTTTGAAAACGCAGGAAATCAGCAGCAGCCGATAGTTTTTCGTCACTAGGCAACTGGCAGCTCACTGCCGACGACGGAGAGAGAGGGTCCGCCTGCTCCGAAACACCGCTCCGTCTGCAGCACAGCGCCACCCAGCGTCCACATTGCGCACTGCAGCAGCTTTATCACGGAAGCAGCTGCTGTAAATGCTCTGCTTATACTCTTTATTTCCAGGTGTAGCAGCTCAAACTGGTAGTGCACAAATGTGACAGTGTTGTGTGTTGATAAAGATGGGGGAGGGGTGTATCAGTAACACAGGTGTAATGAGACCTTTGCTCCATTTCATTTAACCAGCACACACAATTCCACTCTATGAGTTGCACATATACTCTTTCTGCCATAAAAAAAGGCAAACATCTCAAGAAAAAAAGTCATAATAAATATTGACTAAGATTAAGATAAGATAAAATGTTCCTTTATTGATCCCCCGTAGGAGAAATTCAAATTACACAGCAGCAGCATAGGGGAATGTGGTGCAAAGAGTACATTGTACAAGTACAATAGGGATCACTAAAATAAGAATATTACAAAATATAATAGAAAATATAAAACTTTAAATGAAAAATATATACACTATATGCAATATATGCAATGTGCAGTACAATAATGTGCAAAATATTTTACCAACACACACTCAATCGTGTATCAGTTATAATAGTACAGAACAATTATGATGTTACTTAAACTTTACATATTTTAACGTTTTGATCAAAATGACCATAAAAAGTTGATGCACCACACCCATGGCTCTGTCTTTACTACTAAACTTGGTTGAATTTCAGTCAGATCTTTTCTGTACACTTGCCATGAACTTTACCTGGTCTGTTTGGGGCCCTGCAATCCACTAGATGGAGCACTAGACCACCACAAGCTGAGACCGCACATCTCCCCAAGTGGAGCGCACCGGGCAGGGTGAACGGACATGGAGAAGTTAGCTGTGTGGGATTCATACTGGGCTTTATTTTGAAGTGAATTAGTTAAATTGGTTTCATGTGGGGTTTGTTCTGTTATAACAAATATATAGACAAAGATAAGACATATAAAACACGAATAACCAAGACAAAAATTCAGATTGAATTGAGCATATGGACACGCGAAAACAAACAGATGCGATCGAGGAATTAAATCTATTTAAAGAACAAAGAATACAAGTTCAATAACATGCAATACAGACAATGTGTTGTGTAGGAAACTGAAGCATCAGGTTAAGCAGGAAGTCAAGGAAACCCTCTCAGGGTCAGATAAAATGTGGCCACTTTAAAAGTAAGATCTACTTTGCTATTACTACCAGCATTACCAGCTGCATGTCTATCTCTGTCTAACTTCTTCCTGTACAATGTTCTTGGAGATGAGTCGGAGCAAAATAAAACAAGAGTCCGTTTCCTTGTATGTATACATACGTGGCCGATAAAGCTGAGATAGTAGGCGGCATTGATATGTATGTTATCATAATCACCGTCAAACCCGCACACCCACACCAACCCACCTAGAAGCACCGCATCCTGCGAGCACTGCCCGGGGATTTCACGGGTGGAGGGCGATGTGACCAATCCCGAGGCAGAACTGTTTACCTGTGCGGCCGCAGCTCGAGCGGTGATTGGTCCGCTGGCGTCCTGCCCCGAGCTGACGTCAGGAGGAGCGCTGCTAGTGAGGTTGCCAAGTACGGACTCCGCGTGAGAGCGCGCCGAGTTGGAGAGACAGACGGACACAGGACACGGCTGCTGGACCTTATTGACTGTTGAATTTCAGGTAGGAACAACAGCTGCCTCGCTGCCATGGCACCAACTTTTAATTCTGACTCTCCCACAGAGGATAGAGAGGTTGTTGTTGTTGTTGGAGCCGTGGGGTGCTTTCTGGCTAGGGGAGGGGGGGTTGACAGGTCGTATTCAAGCAGCGTTTATCTGTGAGTAACGTTAGCTGACCTCACCTGGCGTTCACATTCACTCCGTGATTATGGGGATTTTTTTGTTTTCGTATTAGAGGAACTTTTGGAGGGAGAGTCACTGACTTTAAAACTGCATTCAGCTTTACTACATTGGGAGGGAGGCAGCTGAAGTGAACAGCAGCCGTCAGTAATGCAGATGTACTCTCATTCACATCAAGAGGAGCTCTGTGTAACTGAAGCTGCAGTTTCGAAGATCAGATACTGACATGGAATATGGGAGGGACTGATACTCGTCTTCTTCCATACCAGAATAACTAGATTGCTCCCTGAATTAGCCTAATGTAATGTAATAAATTAAGTTTATACAGTATGGTCCGACCATCTAGAAATAACTCTACTATGTCTTGAAAGACCCCCTTTCATTATTCATCTCTACAGCGGAACTGGTGCGAAGGTATGGATGTGTGATTTTCCACTGTTTGAGTATTTTTAGTTTTTACCCATTCCCTCATTTCTCCTTCCCCTTCCCCTTTTTTCTGTTTATCTTCCCCTTTCTCTCTCAACTCTCTCCCTTACACACACACACACACACCTCCTCATCTCTTCTGTCTATGAGATCTAGTAAAGAGAAGTCTGCTTATCAATTAATAAGCCCACTTTGAGAGGAGATTTGTTGTGCGTCATTGACACCAGCTGACCAATCAGCTTGCTGTTAGAAAACCTCAGTCAGCCACTGGGTGCATGGTGTTGATGGGTAGGGGGGCACATGCAGTTTTGGAGGGGCACCATGGCAAGCAGCTGATACCTTTTTTTGATGGTGTAGGTTAGTTTTCTGATTCCTATTACAGTTCACGTTGACAGGCGAGTTACAGGGAACCAACAAACTGCCTCATCACTGCTCTCTCTCTCTCTCTCTGTGTTCATGCTTTCAAACGTGTTGCTCTTGGCACGCAGGAAGAAGCCCACAACTGCATCAGTTCAACCGTTTGACCCAATGAATCGTTTTTATCTGTTGTGCTAAATAGGTGAATAGAGTTTTGTTGTGCTGGCTCCAGCTTCATTTGAGCTGCATTTCGCCCCGGTCGATGTGCATCTCTCCACTTGTCTGCAAATTCCTGAGACACCCCAGATTTCCAAAGAGACAATAAAACCGTTAAGGTAAACAATAACACATGTTGGGAGTTGCAATAAGGGTTGCTGTCATTCAAAAATGCATGATACTGTAGGAAATGTGATCCAAAACCAGGGCAGCTGCACTTTATAAAGACTCCTCTGCTTTGGTCTTCAGGTCAGATTTCAGATTTATGCTCTGAAAGCATTAAAAGATCAGATATAGCAATGCACCCGAAAAGAAGTAGTAAAATAAAATCACTTGGAAAATGGTTAGTGAAGCATGTCCTAACATGAGTGCAGTCCGTTGGCAGGAGTGGAGTCTTTGTTCTTAACTTGGCAGAAGAATTCCTCAGTTTGGAGCCTTGCCATTAATTGTCTGCTAAGATTTAATATAATAGTAGTAAAGGCGAGTCAAAATCAATATTTCAGTGTTTAAAGACAAAAGAGAATCAACTTGTTTATGTGTTGTTATCAACACTTTTGTAGAGAGACAAGCCACCCAGTTTAGAGTAAACAAGTGGATTTGTCCTGAGATGTGTTCAAGAGTTCAGTTTGGTCAAATTTTTGTTAAACTTCATATTTTAATGTACGTTTGTTTCTTTTTATGTTTGATTCTGTGTGCATGCATGTGTGTGTGTGTGTGTGTGTGTGTGTGTGTGTGTGTGTGTGTGTGTGTCAGTGCTGCAAAACATTTTAACACCACTGCAAATTAAGTTTCACTTCAAACAACACGCTCTAACCACGCCATTTCGTCACATTTAACAGTGGTTGTGTGTATGTGTGTGTGTTTCTTCTGTCCACTGCACATCACAGGAATGGGAAACCAGTGAGTACAGCGACTCTCTTCTGTGTAAACCTTAAACAAGGGTGAATGCTGCATGTCACAAACCACTCAGGAAATTGTGTTTATGGTATTGTGCGTCTCCCTATCTCAAGCCTCTTCAATCCTGTTGCTTCTTGGGTTTTTTGAGCAGCTTATCTTCACCCATCAGCCAAAAGTCATGTCATCAGTGGACATGGAGGGGCTGTTTTTTGCCTTCTACATGCTCATACGATACCTGCATGTGTCTCTCTCCTCTACTCTCCCACTTTTTTTTTTTTATAAACTTGCCCCCATCTACCCCTGCGTGTCTTAAACTTGAACCTTATTCTGCTGTTTATAGCATTTGCCTGTTTGAAAAACAGACTCCCCTTGCTCAACTTTGTCCTCAAAGCTCCAACTGCTTGAAATGTGTTATTTAAAGTGTTATGTGAAGTTGCCTCATGTGAAACATATCCAGATGTTTGTGCCACTAAAGTAAAATCCAAGTGTTATGAAGGAGATTTAGGTGCATGTTGGTATTTTCTGGGCACACAGTTAGTTACTATCCGTAGATTTCTAAAATGAACACAACCTGTGACAAGCAAGCGTTGATGCATTCATAGATTTTAAATGACTTTGATGTTTAAATGAATGTTCAATATCACCCATTCTCAGTGCATGAATTAACATGAATCTCCATGAATCTCCATATGAGCAAGGTGAGATGCTACAAACAAGCAGTATATGAGAGGTGTTTTCACTCTTTCTCTGGCTTCAGTGTGCTTGAAACGGTCTAGTGCTGTTGCAGTCCATTTAAAGAGAACAACGATGCCCTGCCTAAATAATTAATAAAATAAATGAATAATTAAAAATAATATTTTTATTTTTAATTAATCCTTCTTGATACATCTTTTCAGTGTATCTCATTTAGTCTCTAAAAGGGCCAAACTGCTGACAAGTCTCTCACAGTTTACCAGAGCCTAAAATAATCTCTAAAAATAGCCTTTACAGTTAGTTTGAAGAAAAGAAAAACTCCCTCTGTAGATAAAAATGGTTCATTCTAAGGAAACAAACACAGTTGTTATTTTCAGGTGATTATACACTAATGAAAAGATACTTATTAATATTATATTCTATTTATGCCAGTAGATCCTCTTAAATGTTACACACTGGACCTTCGTTGAAGGTGGAAATCATATATATCATATTCGTACTTAATACTTAATTAATCAGTTGGTTTCAGCAGTACAAACTCAATATATTTTCCTCACAACCAGACATAAGAAAGCCTAAAGGATCTCAACATGAGAAAATACAAAGATCACCTGATTCTTCCTGAACATTGGAGAAAAAAATATCATGCTTGGTAATGGATCCTCAATTTCCAGACAGAGAGAGAGACTGGTGTCAAGTTGAAGATGTACTTAGGATGGAATAGAGTTACAGCCTACTACGTATTGTTTGTTTGTCCCCTACTGTAGTTATTAGACGCCAGGAACAGAACCCCCAATATGGCAGATTTACCGGCCAAGCTTTTACTCGCATTTTACTTCCTCTTACTGCTTCCCCTAATCACATTACTTTGCATGATGGGGTTTTCATAACCAATTTAGAAATACTTCCTTTTTCTTTAGTTGCTTTAAATGGCATGCAAAATGTAGTGGAGGAAATGATGAATGACTCAGATAGCAATTGTTCAACTGTAAGTTTTGTTTCTCATTCTTTTGGTACAGACAATTTATATCAAATGCACACCTCCGGTCATGAATTGTAAATGGTCAAAGTACTTGTGAATTAATATGACATTTAAAATCAGACCTACGGTCATGTGAAAGCATTACTTGTGAATTGTACTTTATACCTGAGAAGGTTATATCATTTTTCACTGCTTCTTGTGTGTGACATGTAACGTCTAATCCATATCCAATTACCACACCCCAGATGCTGACCAGATGTGCTTTTTAATTTGAAGCACTGAAGTAACCAGAATGATTTCCACCTTAGCTGCCACCTGCCATTAGACACTAAAGCAATTTTGACTGTCAGATACCTTAACAGCTCCTTTGGGTTTCCATGACAACAGGTATGAAGCTGACTTCTGACATTAGTGAAGGCAGCGAGAGGGCCACAGTGTGCATGTGTGTGTGTGCATAAGACATGGCACACGTGTGCGCATCAATCAGTGACTGCACCTCAGTGCAGCTAGAAGAGGCCACATCCTATCAACGTTTATTCTGAGCAACAGCAGTGTTAAGCCTTCCCCTGACTATTGCTTAATGCCACTCATACGCACAGTTCGGCATTGAAATGAGTTGACTCTGAAGTGATACAGAAATGATTAACCGTGCTATTATATCGTCTTTAGCAAGATGGCTCTTGTACAATCCAGAACAATATGTTACATCATCTCGTACAGACAGACTGTGAAGTTGCCAGGCAGGCAGCAGGAACAGAGGAGGAGTGAGGCATGCTGATATGAACAGGGGCTATTTTAGTCATCCAGGTCTTGAGTTATAGGGACTTTCTGGGTTTAGACGATGATAGCTGTGATCACTCCCTCTCTGGAGAAGATGGTGAGGACAAACATCTAAATGTTGACTTTTGCTGAGAAAATATGAATAAATGAGACAAAGAATTAATATTGTTTGTGTCTTTTTCTAACTTTTAAAATCAGGAATGTTTTTACACTCTATAGCTTGGTATGGTATGTGGTTTGCCACCAACACCTAAATAGACTATAGACATATAGGCTTCTGAGTTTGGTTCTTGTTTGGTGTGCTTCTTCAGACAGATCTTTCACACATACCATTGTAAGTGTGACAATACTAATAAGCACCAGGGAAAAACCTTTGCTGTTCTTAGGAATTTGTCAACTTAAGGACTTATATGACCTGGGTCCACAGCCCTTATTCAGCCCTGACACTAAGGTGAACTGTGCTATACTTGAAGTCATATACTTTACAGCAACAGTCGGGTCAGTGTGAAACTATAGTTTACTTATTAACCTGGTAGATATTGGCCATGACTTTTAGCCCTCTTTACTATATCATAAATTCTACTCCCGTTACTTGAACATGACTGCAGAACATCACTTTTTTATAACATGTCCGACCAAAAAAAAAATATTCTATAGATTTAGACCAGATCCTCTGCATGCTTCTGCCATGTTGGACCTTCAGATTAACCACAACATTGCAGCCGCCACTTGGAATCACCGTGAAGTTGCAGGTGCAGGACTCACACAAACAGTGAACCAGTACTGAATCAAATGCAGCCTGAGAGCCTTTGTTTAATACCCCATGTCATATGATATGTTTTGTGTGTGAAAACTATATTTAAAAGGAAGCAGGATTTACCGCATTCTTAAGTCACCTGAGACACATGCAATTGTCTCTGTAACAGACTGACCACATTTTTTGCAACAGTCTGTTTGTCAAGCTGGTTGTAACATCGTAAGTAACGGGTAAGTTTAGTCGCATGCATCTATGAATAGACATTGTAACACTGTAAGAAATCCACAGATGTCAGTAAATCCAAGTTATATAAACTCTTTTATGTTAATGCAAACAACCACATAAGAAAAGTGAGGATCACTATCAGTGCAGTACTGTATTTACTGCAGGTGGGAGATGGAGGCAGTTAACCGCTTGTAATGATCATTTCCTCCTTATCCTCTGTTTCTTCACTAGTATTGTTTCTGACCGTAACAACAAGAAGATGCCACTGGGTGACGATTGCCATGCGTGGAAAAAGAAGACCACAGATGTGAAGGATCAGTATGACTTCAAAGAGATCCTGGGAACGTAAGTGTTTCAGCACCAGTGGCAAAAACTATTGTGTTTCAGCTTTGTATGATGGCTTTTTCACACTCTGGGAAACATTGTTAAGATTCTGTTAAAGGGTGTGTGTTTTTACATGTTTACTGATGCACTTAATGCGTATTTGTTAGGTGTTCTCTCAGATGGACGAAAGACAGAAGACATTTGTATTTGTTTTGTTTCTGATCCCGGCGCTTTTGTATGGATTGCATTTTTTAAATTATCATGCAAGTATTTAGGCAGATAGGTAATTAGTGCTGCGTAATGAATGGATAGACCCTATTTGGTAAGGAATGATTAGTCATACCGTACCAACTTCATGACTGGTTTTGGTGTATTGTGTAAATGTGTCACTGCTCCAAGTATATTTTTGCTGGGCTGCTCCTGTCACTGTCCCTAGATAAACAGCTTGATGCTTAATCGAACATGCTAACAGGCTCTAATGTGAGCCTGATGTGGTTCAAGCAAGCAGCACATGTGTGTGGCCAGTGAAAGCAATGCTGTGTTTCTCAGGCCTTTGTTTGTACCTTTACCATTTTGATAATTCCATGGCTCCAAACAAATCTGCTTATGCCAGGGTAGGTGGAGTGGCACAGATGAGTTTGTATTAATTCAGATCAGGTCGTGTCCTGCAGTTTGGTATTTGTTTTGGCCTAAAATGTTAACAGCTATTTTTGTGCTTTAGCTAAAACACACAAAGACTTATTCAAAATATTATAAAACCCTCTAACGGTTAAAAGCATGTTAAAGGTCCAGTGTGTAACATTTAGGAGGACCTATTTGCAATATAATATTCATAACTATGTTTTCATTAATGTATAAGCACCTGAAAATAAGAACTGTTACATTTTTGTTACCTTTAAAAGAGCCTTTTATATCTTCCATGTAGTCCGTCGTGTTTCTACTGTAGCCCAGAACAGACAAACCAAACACTGGCTCTAGATAACGGTTTGTTTGGGATTTTTTAGCATTTCATAGCCACCATAATTTCTCCATCGCATTTGGAAGGAGAAGGTGAAGTGAGGGAGGTGCAATCTGCAACTGTGCTACTAGATGCCACTAAATCCTACACACTGGTCCTTTAAAACACCCAATGCTTAAAGCAGTTTCAATAGGACAAGTCTCTCCATGCTGGTAAATAGTTTTCTTCAGATTCCACATTTATATGATTTAGAGTACAGGAGGTTCTGCAACAGGTGTCCTGAGCACCATTACAGATCTTGTGACGTTTCTCTTTAGGCAAAATTTCAAACAAAGCAAACAGGATTATTTGGGAGTGGTCGGTGTAAGTGTAGTCTAATGTAATTAAATACAATAACCCTGCAGTAGATTTTGAGTAAAAGCACTGCAATATATCTTCGTGGATCGTATAATGTTCACTTTTGTTGACACAGTGTCATCAGAACCTTGTTGATTTACCTCTCTGACACAGTGTGAACAAACCAGGCACAAAGCATCACACTAAGAGGCTGATATTCCCAGCCCTGCATGTAAATAATTGTAGACGGAACATTGGAAAACACCTCTTAAGAAAATGCCGTTTACAATGTAACAGCACCACTAAATACACAGGCTCATAGATTACCACAGAATGGTACCTCTGACAGGAACGTGATACACTTCACAAAGATAAGAGTTATTGTTGGGCTGCTGCATTTGATTTCATTCGATTGAAGAGGTGTGCTCAATAAACTGGTAACTGTCAAGGACTGTATAAACACATGATACAGCTAGATCCAACTAATCAACAGTAATTTACAAAGCTAGAGCGGCTGAGAGAGCTAGACACAGTGCAACTTAAGAAAATGTTCAACTGGACAAAACACAAGTAAATAGGGGAAAACATTTTCCCCTATTACAACCTCAGTGATAACTTTAAAGCCTGTACTAGTGCTTAAATCAAACTTTTCAGTTCCAAAACGTTTAATGGTTTAATGTAATGACAATTTACTTGTACTTGATATCAGTTCCGACCTTAGATTGTAGCTTCTCTGTGTCTGCATAGCTGGTGAGTTTGAGACATTTCCAGTGGGTCTGCTTTTGGTACTGTGTGGCATGAGCCTTATTTTTATTTCTAGGACGAGAATGTTTGCTGTGGCAATGTTAATGTACACCTGTGTTTATTTAAAGGAAGCACAGTTGTCCGATAGCTGTAATTATTTCCCATTCAAGTGACCCCTTATCCCGTAGTAAGCTGGGAAGAAACTTCTTACAGTACATTAAGATTAACTAGATGAATTTGTTAGCTGGGATCAGTTTTGCTGCAGGCCGACTTTGTACTAAGTAGAGCCACATCTACATCTTTATGTTTCTGGATTGTAGCAATGGGTATACAGGTAAAGATAGACAGGGATTATTTTTGATTGACCTGAAAATGAGAAATTAATGAAAATACTCAAGTGTACTTGCCTACAGTACTACAGTACTTGCCTTGATGCAGGTCATTGGTAGCTTAAATCCCATATCAGCAGTACTTTGTAAAAGAGCCTTATACTGTTGAGTACTGTTTGGGTTTGACGTGTCTGTACTGTCTCTCTTTATTTGCTCGGCTTTTCTTGGTGCTTTGGAATCTCTCTTAAACCTCTTAACTTTTGAGGACACTGTGTGTATTTGTGTGTGCGTGCTATCCATTTGTCTGAAAATGGCCATGCTTGGTTTTCGGCGTGCATGATGGCATGCCTACTGCTTGTCAGTTGTAGAACTGTTACTCATTCGCTGCATCTCTCAAGCCCCACGTCTATTCTAAATTTACGCAAGTGAGCAGGAGCACCATTCTGGTTGCTATACAGTACATTTGTCCAAACCCAAATGTAGTTTGGCACTCGCAACAATAGAGCATATTCCATCACCAAGACAGGACCATTTCTGTCCTCCTGAGTTCCTCCTTGGGTTGACTTGGCCCTCCTGTCTAAATGGTCCTGCTATCCATCCCCCAGTAAAGCGTTTGCCCAGCTTTCCCAAATTGGCAGAAGCAATTTGGACCCTAGTTTGGTATCAAAGAACAAATTGCTCTGAGAGTGTGCATCAGTTAAATGTAACTTTTAATCCTTTTACTCTTTGTTTTATGATGCGTATGAATGGTGGATGCTGAGAGTCATAAGACTGGATGTTTATCCAAGGTGTCTTTCTTGAAGCACCTTTTACATACACCCACATCCTTGTTAGTCCAGGATTAAGTTGTGTGAACACCTAATGAATCGGAGATGAAACCTAAGCTTGGTTTGTGAGTTTATGAATCCTTCTTTGGCCTCTTTAGTCACTGATGCACAGAGAGTAGAAACAATATTGTAAGCACCAAACGAAAAGGACTTAACTTAACCACAGTTACAAACGTTATCACGGAAGTCAGTCATAGCAGCTTGATGGCCGTTTTTCCTGCAACTCTACTGTAAACACTCTAATAAAGGCAAAATGAGTTACTTCCAAGTTAAAGTCTGATTTCTGAAATGTTTGGATTTTTATGGAACATAATTTATGCTAGCACCCTGTTTAAATAGACAAAGGTAGGGTGTAATGTACAGTTAACTATAGCAATATAAAATATAATCAAAGTTTTGTATAAGCCCAACAGATGGGTGCATACATAAACATTTTTTTCCAATCCTTTCAACCTTCTCATTGTCATCCCTCCAGTTCTCCACCTGCCCCCAGTTTTGGTGCAGAGCTTGTTTATGGAGAGATCACCAGCTCACAGCGTCACTCAGCTGTGTGCCACATTCATTTGCCATTGCTGGATTGTTGTCTTGGTAACAACAGGAAACACTTTCCATAATGGACTCAAACAGTCACTATGGAAACAAAGTTTTTGATTTGCTATTAATAATCCTCCACCGGGTGCATATGTGTGCATTGTGCAAGAGATAGACTTGCTCTCTCTTTAAGAAGAAATGATAGAAGAAGAAGAAAGACATTTCTCTATAAATGTTCTCCTTGTTTCTAAAGCCTCCCTCAATCACCATGAAGGAGATGGGTGCTACAAATCACCTCGTCCACCAATCGAATGTTCATCATCTCTCATACATAAAAGCTCCTCAATTTACCTGTCCTGAACTAACACAAAATGTATTTCTTGAATTGGATTATTACTTTCAAATTTCTGACTTTAGAGACACAAATGTTAATGATAAGGGAGCTTTAAACCATATACCAGTGGCGTGTGCTGTGAATCACCAGCTGCTGCCACATGTTTTTGTAATCAAAACAGATGGGAATTAATAATGTACAAACAGGCAACGTCACTACAATCAACTCAAATCCTCTTTAGCCTTCCTTCTTTTCTCATTTCTGTTACTTATGTTAATCTATTCCCCCCGTCTCTCTCTCTCTCTCTCTCTCTCTCTCTCTCTCTCTCTCTCTCTCTCTCTCTCTCTCTCTCTCTCTCTCTTTCTGTTTGTTCTGTCTGTGTCTGTCCAACCCATCCCCAAACCTCACCCCTGCTCTCAGAAATCCAGCTCCATTTGGCTCATCATCCCTGTCACCTGCTCTTTAACCGTTTCCTGGTTTCACACTGTGTTTGCTGTGGAACAGGGATCCCAGTGTGTCTGCCGCCCTTTGATTTTCAGTTGAAATTAAAGCTTTCATTATACAGGAATCACGACATACAACTAAGCATAAGACGGAACCATTGATCCTCCTCAGAGTTATTGTCAAAAAGATAGGATACAATCAAATTACAAACTACCCTTACCCCAAAACTAGCTTTTGCTCACAGAATTAAAAAAGAGCTCTAAGTAATCCCCTTGTTATAACATGCCATGCATACACACACACACACACACACACACACACACACACACACACACACACCACACACACAAAGACACACAAACCCACCCATCCAGACCTTCTTGCTTGGAAAGTTTGGATTCCCTTGGCTTCCCCCAGCGATTCCTTTGGCTTTATTTCAAATGACTCAATGACTTACCCTGCACTCTCCAGCCTATGTTGCTCAGTATATCATCATTATAGATTCACATGTCACCTAT